ACATGGTGTGTCAACTAAAAAAGATTTTGATGAAATTCTAAGAAATGGATGTGGTTAGAAATGGATGTGGTTGACTTGAATGAATGTCTATCAAAGTACCCGAAAAATTGTAATGAACTTCTGCGTTTAATGAAAGAAATAATAATGCTGTTGAGCTTAAGTATTTTGGATTTACGTCAATAAAAGGTAAAAAAAAATCTTTACCCTTAATAAAGCTCAAAGAGACAAGCGGTTTCAACTGGAGAAATTCTAGATATGCCTTAGCGATAAGTGCTTTCCTGGCAGTTTACATCAGATGGACGAGACTTTGGATGACTGTCTGAAAGCTATTGATGATATTAGATTAGCCTGAAGCCTGATTCAAAAGTCAGATAAGTTGTTTGCAAGAGGAGACATTTTAAACATGCAAACCCAATACAACCATATGTGCTTATCCGAAGTTGAGGATATTTTGTTCGAGAATGACAAATTACAAGAATATCTATTGTCCCTCTTTAGTTTATATCAATCATTGCATTTCCATACAATTGTTTCATGAGGGGAACGACCAACCTATAGTTTTTTGTATTCCTTTCTTTCAAGAACCTCTAGCCTTTGTTAGTCATGGTTTTTGTTTTGGTTCATTTGTATTTTTCAGAATTTGTTTGGCGTTCATTTCGCTGAACTAGCATACATTATTGTTTAGGGGCCAGCTGAAGCCCGCCTTTGGTGCGGGATTTTCTCGCTGCGTTGAAGACCCATTGCTAGCCTTGTGTTGTTTTCTGCTCTTTTTTAGGTTGTTGTCTCTTTGGCACATTCCCCGTTTTCATTCTCTATTCTCCTTTTTTTATTTTTGTAATTTCCTCAAACACAAAATACGTTAATTTAGCTTTTAAATATCTAGTCGAGTGATGCCTTAAAACTTTTCCAGTTGCGCAAGTCTGTCTCTATTTAGAGTAAACTATGTGTACATGTATATACAAGGTAAACTCTTTCAACGTTGTAGAGCAACAAATCAAATGCCTTTGAAGTGCTCATTTGTTGGATTTTAAAGGCAAGTGTGAATTTAGAAAGATTTCTTTTGAGGATGAATTTAATTTCTCATTACTGAAGAAAAATATCGTGACCAAAGTTCTACTCGGCTTTGCGTATAAAATTCTTCACTCCTTTACCTTTTCATTGAATTTAAATTTCGTGACCAACGCATGTGCCATTTTGAATTTAATTAATGACAGTTTGCATTGCTGGTGAATAACATGTAGGCATGCCTAACATGTATGTTTCGACCTTCAACAGGTCATGGTTATGACATAGCATATAAGTGTCACTCAAATTGCTTTCAAATTCTTTCTTTTATTTTCTTTCCGGTGATGATTAATCAGTGTTTTGGTGATCCACTTGTTGCTTATTTTCAACAATATTCCATCGTAATACACAGTGTATATAAAGTGCGAATCCAGTTAGTTCATTTTCACTGTTGTATGCGAGTATGTCTATTGTAGAATAAAGGATGATGGGAAAAAATGCCTTTGTTTACTTTTTGAAAATACACAATAATTGATTTGAATGTATGTTTTAACACAATTTCATTACAATATAACTTTTTAATGTTTAATAACAGGATTTAAGTTCACATAAGTGTATTAAAGCAGCAGAATCCATATTATTGTTTACTGAATGCGATTCATTTTAACTATAGATGCGATGAATTATCACTGTAAGTGCAATCATTTCTGATGTGGAATTTTTGGAGGTGCGATGAATTTTCATTGTTGTTTTTTATATGTATTCGACATGCAACAACTGAAAATAGTTTTTAAATGACTTTAATATTGATGATATTTACAATTTGAAATGCAAGCTAGTCGTAGATGCTTCATTGAATAAACACGGGTATAACCACGTTCATAGCATGCATATTCAAATATTGTTGGTGAGTTTGCTATAAGCTTGTCATGGATCCGAAAATTTACTGGAGCAGAACATTCTTGAATATAACGTATTTCTACGGAGAATTTTCCTTTAAAAGTTTTAGAACTCGCTTAAAAAAGCTTTGAAAATTTGTCACGCCGTGTCATTCGTATTTCTACCCTATTGATAGGCTTTTTCACAACGAACAGTACAAGAATGTACAAAGAACGGTGCTAAAGAAAGCAAACAAACTACAAAGAGAATGAATCGTACAGTGCCAAAATTCTGAGGTCAATTTTGCAAGTAAATGTCTTCAAAAATAATTATAACAACGGGTTTCTCATTCGCATGATGTATTTTTAACAACAACAAATCACAAAATACACGGTCGCATTTAGTGTAAGAGCCAACCAACTACTAGTATGCTCTATTTGTAGTTTAATCAAGTTTGAGTTACACAGAGTGTTTGTTTCGCGATGTTTACAAGTAATTCACAGACCTGTCTATTTAAAATAGTCACATGGTGTTCATGTAATATAAATAATACACAATGATGTCAAGAGCAGTAAACTATGTTTTAATAAATATTGAATACTTAACTAAACATTACGTCAATTAGTCTTTAGTGAAAATATAAGAACAGTCTATCTACCAACATCGCTTCGCGATGTAGCGATTAACGTCCGGAATCAACTGTACGGCGGTTATACCACGTAGTATAACACCATTTAAACATGTAACAATAGCTGACTGTTGTCAATATTTCCTTGTATTCTTACAACTGCGTTTTTGCTGATTTGTAACACCAACTTATAAGAAATTCAAACATAAATTAAGGTGACTCGACTGTTGCTCGAACTTTCTTTACTGTATTAGATGTATACACAATTGCACGATAAATATCAATTATCCACTCATCAAAGCGTCAATTGTTTGTACAAGATGAAAACGTTTTCACTCATTTAATCGTGAAATGAAGATCGTTTTGTGAATGCTCTTTGTTATCTAAAATGCATCCATTAGAGCTATTTTCCAAATGCTTGTAGTTTAAAGGTTTGGTTGGCTTGTTTGTTTTGTTTGTGTGTATAAATGTTTGCTCAATCTTAATTATAATGCTTAAGCAAACATTTATACAAAGCAAGCAAGCCAACCACACCTTTAAACTACAAGCATTAGGAAAATAGCTCTAATAACGTTTATTTTATTAGTATGCGATGTAGATTTAGACCGAAACAGAAACGTTGCTTTTTCGGTGACGCGGATTGGCTTAACTTTCCAAGATATATGTATTAAATGATGGCGTGTCATAGGAAAGGATAAATTTTATCCTACATATAGATCTGGATCTGGACAAATTACTAAAGAAAATAGAATTGACTATATTAACAATAAATGCCATTTTTAAGGAATTTGTTGATATATTACCTCAGACTTTCACTCACTAAGTATGCATATATAATCAATCCTTCTGACTTCATAAATTTTGTTAGAGAGTCGGCTGAATTAAGACTTTATATAATGAAAATTAATTAATTTCCTTCTGTGAAAATGCATCGCATATACAATAGAAATGAATCGCCCTACAGTGAAAATGAAAGTATAGTATCATTATTCGACAGTTAACATGAATCGCATAATGAAAACAGCATAGTGGAATTTGATTCAATATCAAGAAGCTGAATAACAAAACCTGTTTTAAGTTATACAACATTAATAATTATGTTAAAAGGTACATTTTTCTGCAAATGAAACTTAACTACAACTTTGAAATCTCTTGCACGCTCTGTTCGTGAACTATTCTTAATATTTATCTATTTGTGTATCAACTTTGCACCTGGATGGCTGTAGACGCGATGAAAACCCGTGCGCATCTCATACCTATATCATGAATTTAAAAAAACAGTACACATCATATATTATTTCTTATTTTATTAAAAAATCATGAATTTGTCGTCTGTTTATTTATCATTCTACATCAGAAATTCATCACGGATACAGTGAAAATGACATTTCAGGATTCGCACATTACATACACTGATACACATGCACTAAAAGTATAACATATTTTTAAAATCTTTTGAATAATGTGCTGCTGTGTGAAGAGTAACATAACCACTCTGACGACGACTTCATGTTTTGTTTTCGTGATTATTTAGTTTAAAAAAAACACTCACAGACGATTCAATCACAGGGAATATTAGTTTAAAATGTCATACGCACTGACTGACAACTATTAGGCTGTGTGTTGAAATTTATTTAGAAACTTGTAACATGAGAACACTGCAAATTAGAAACATCATGCAGTCGTTGACCGGTGTTTACATTCTAATAAATCCATTAAGAAGACACAAATCAAGGTAAAGAAAACAAATTGGAATTGCAATAACTTCAAAAAGAGACAAGGTTAGTGTCTCCTGATTTGCACGCATCAACTGCCATGCGAATCCACATTCAGTAAAAATGTCCAGAATGGGAGAAGGACACAATAGGTCACGTACAGATCACTGAGACGACTATTCTGGTATATAATAGGACACAATAGGTACAGATCACTGAGACGACTATTATGGTATATAATAGGACACAATAGGTATAGATCACTGAGACGACTATTGTGGTATATAATAGGACACAATAGGTACAGATCACTGAGACGACTATTCTGGTATATAATAGGACATAATAGGTACAGATCACTGAGACGGCTATTCTGGTATATAACAGGACACAATAGGTACAGATCACTGAGACGACTATTGTGGTATATAATAGGACACAATAGGTACAGATCACTGAGACGACTATTCTGGTATATAATAGGTCACAACAGGTACAGATCACTGAGACGACTATTCTGGTATATAATAGGACACAATAGGTACAGATCACTGAGACGACTATTCTGGTATATAAAAGATCTATGACTGCGGACACACGTCTCCAGTGAGTTGAGACGCAGATATAAAGCGGGCTGATTGTTCTTGTCATGAGAACACATATAAGGGGGGAGGGGTCATATAATATTAATAACAGTTATGATTCCACGGCACCATAAATCATACAATATATTTACGTATAAAATGAATTAAATCAGTCTGATTCTAAATAAAAGAAATCTCCAATAGAAAGCCGTGTCTCATTTCCAAAAATATCAATATAAGGTTTAAATATGAATTTCAAAGAAATAGCGTTCAGAAACACATCTATACATGATATACGATGGTACCCATTTAATGAAATAGACAGAAATGTACATTCATATGTCAATTGTAGCGTTTGCGTCCCTGATGAAAGAAACATGGAATTCTTGAAGTACAGGCAGTGACTAACTGTTCTCATACTTTAGCTAAGTCCACGTAGGTGACCACCGGAACGTAATAGGGTCTGAAATAAACGGAAGCAAAATAATGGATGTTGACAACAACGACGACCACGACGACGATAATGATGATGATGATGATGATGATGACGACATCTTTGTTTTTCTTGTTTTTAGTCTCTCTCTTGTTATTGCTATTGTTTTAACAGTTAATATTGTTGTTAGATGCATGCAGCAGATATTTACCTTTGCAATTTCATATTACTATTGAAGAGAATGTTCAAAACCAAGCGGAAGAAGGTTGCTTTGAGAGTCCTACGATTGATTGCTATCCATATCAATTGTCAGTTATAAATCTATTACTTTAAACTGATGTTTTGTGTTTTTATCTACATTATACAGTAATTACAGACAAAAGCTTAACATGTTGCTCTGTTCATGTTGCATGCTTAAAATTGAAAAAAATAATGTTTCGTAACATTTCAAATATAAGTTGTTTCCTAGTAAGATCTGCTATGGTACCAACAAAAAGTTATTTAAACTAACCTATCCCTGTAGTAGACATTGGCACCGTACCACGTGTTCTCCCGGATTTGTTCACGTTTTGTCTTTTTGTGCCATGTGATAACCCTAAAATGATATAAAGTAAACAATGAACTTAATCAAAATGTTAATTTCATAAAGATTGATGAAGATCGAGCAGTACATTATTATGTCATCAATATGACAAGCCTATATCAAATGGAAAAACGAATGAAAAACGAACAAGTATGGTACATATGAACTCACAATTTGATAAATAATTGTCTTTTTGGATGTCATACCGCTTCTACATTTGTGCCCTTCAAAACTTACTTAATATGGCCCGTAGTTGTTCACATCTTTGTCCTTTAGTCTTAAATGGATATTTGAGGACTTGTCATGGATTGTTGAACTGGTCTCATTGGCAACCATATGGATATTTGAACTTGCCCTATAGGCATTCATCTATTAGTGTAATGTGTGGAAAATTGATAGGTCACTTGCCCGTATTGTAATATTTTTGTTGAACATTGATTCTTGGCAATATTTTTGTTAACACTAAGGATTTAATGTGTTCATTCTAAGCTAATCCTCCAGATGGACTGGTACATGTTGTCATTAGCTGTGTTTGCTGTCCATTTTTTTTATGCTATCAGTTGAACCCATTACTATTTGGTATTTGTTTCATGCAACGATGACGAAAATTCATTTTTCGGTATATGCAATTTAGAATAAATTTGACATCATGTTTCGTATGTATTGAAATGTTGATATGGACGTACATACGTGATGATACAAGTCAGAGCACTGAGTAAGCAATACACATTATGCATTATATCTTGAAAAACGCATTAAAAATATTCAGTGACAGTTACTTTATATTTGTACATCAATATCAAGCATGCCAGCAGATAGATATAGATTAACTCACAGAAATCACGCACCTGCAGAGTATACAAGAGCAATTATCGCATTAAGCATATGTATATGATAAATTAAAATTACGTAGTTGCAAATACTAAATTCTACTTTCACACATGAATTTGATTACAATAGAGATGACATGCAAAACTAGCACTACTGCACGACAGCGAACCTACGTTCTGCATTTATTATCCACTGTATCTAATATGACAGAATTGTCCTGATATTTAATTGTATACACGGGACACGAGCTTGTTGCTCCACCAATCATTGTTCTATTTACATCTGAAAACCATACTTTAATTGATGAAGAAAATGTGTTTATATTTACGAAATTCAAGGTTGCTTTTTATAATCAGAAACTTGCATTTTCCTTAGCATATGCATTCTATATTATTGTGGTTTTCAATCATCTTACACCAAGATGTCATGAAATGAAATTGGATATCCTGCATTTATCATGCTTTTCAATAACGTCGGAGTTAAGTGTATTATTTTCTATTAAAGCAGCAAGAACAGGTTTGACCTATAATTGTTAACTTTGTCTCATTGGCACTCATACCACATCTTCTTATTTATATTGATATCTAAAAATGCGTTAAATTGATTTTTGGCGGGAACTTTTATTTCTAGAAGAAGCAGTTTCCGTATAGGAATATATATCTTGATTTGAAATATTGTTAATTGTTAAGCATGATAACAAATTGAAGTGACATTCCAAGCAGACCCATTATTGTGATTTCATTATATGCAAATGTTTCTGTGAAGGTGTAAGGTTAAAATTTTATGCATTTACGACTCACAAACAGAGATACTCTTTAAATATGGGAATTCCTCATAAATCAATTGAAAATTAGTCGAACATTGAAGTATACATTGTATTTATTAATTTATATGTAAAGTAATTACCTTTCCATATGCCGTCCAACTCTGTTGCTAACAATGTAGCTTCTTTCCTTTTGGAGTCTAACCACTTAGTCGTTAAAATTTCATCTGCTCTTATCTTATTTTGTATCTGATCTTTGGCTTTTCCATTTGGCATTGGTAACACGTTTGAACTGTTGCCTGCATCCACAATAGTAAGCCTACCTCTATTTGAACCCAAATTTCTCTTGCTTGGTGGTCTAAGTTGATCAAGTAAACCAATAGAGAGACCAGATATGCGACTTCTGGTTTTCTGTCCAGAGTTAAGAATTTTATTTGTTGCTACTTTTCCCCTTGAGCCTTGACCATTGTTTGTAAATAGTTGTCGTGATACATCTAAGTTTGTTTGTTTGTCAAGCATTTTCGTTTGATGTCCTGTCACAACAGGATTACTTGTAGCTATTGGGCCCCATGATATATTTTTAGGAATTTGAATATAGTCAACACTAGCTGGTTTTTCTGTGGAGGCTGGTTTACTTGTAGCAACTGGTCCCCATAGTATATTATTACCGATTTCCACATTACTATTCTTTTTACCAAGACTCGGGTTACTTGTAGAAACTGGTGCCCATTGTATATTGTTACCGATTTCCTCATTAATATTCTTTTTACCAAGACTCGGTTTACTTGTAGCAACTGGTGCCCATTGTATATTGTTACCGATTTCCACATTAATATTCTTTTTGTCAAGACTCGGTTTACTTGTAGCAACTGGTGCCCATTGTATATTATTATCAATTTCCACATTAATTTTCTTTTTATCAAGACTCGGCTTACTGGTTGCCACTGGACCCCACGATATTTTTTTATGACCGGGTAAATCAGCTGCAACAGTTCCAAATTTTTTTTCTGTGATAGCTGTGTTACTCGTTGCCACAGGACCCCAAGAAATAGGTAAAGGCTTTGGTGGGTTGTTTACATAAGCTTGTTGCTGAACAACTGGTTTGCTGGTAGCTCTGTGTTGCCATGACAAATTATTCAGCTTACCTGATCTATTTTTACTTTGCAGTGATTTATAAATTGGTTTACTTGTTGCAGTATGATCCAAACCAGTATCTTTTGAACCCCCTGTCTCTGTGTGTATTTCATTCATGATTGAATCGCTGTGAACCATTGGTTTCAGATTTTGATTTTGATTTTTGTTATATATATTGTTCTCATTTGTATTTAAAATAGGTGCTGTATTATGAAGAGAAGGGGTTAGACTTTTCACCAGTCCTAAACTTGCTTTCTTGATATCTTTTTCAGTAGCAGTGAAGGCTTTGTCATTTGGTTTCTGCGACATTGTTTTTCCTGAAGCATTACCACCAACATTAAGTATAACATTTGAAAATTGTCTAGAATCTTTGATCAGTGGTAAATTATTTTGATTTTTCTCCCCAGAGATTGTATTCTTGTTTAATTTAAATGCAACGCCATTAACATTTTGTGGATGAGCGGTGTTATATGAATCTGGTACTTTCCTACCAGCAATGACGGTTTTGTCAATTGGTTTCTGCGACATTATCTTTCCGGAAGCATTACCACCAACATTAAGTATAACATTTGAAGATTGTCTGGCATCATTTATCCGTGGTAAATTATTAAGGTTTTTCTCCCCATAGATTGTTTTCTTGTTTAGTTTAACTGCAACACCATTACCAGTTTGTTGATCTTCGGGGTTGTATGAATCTGATGTTTTCACATTTGTCTTTACTAGTTCAATTGTTGGTTGTAAGTACGTAATCCCATGTCTTTGCAATTTGAAGTTATCTTTCCCTGAAAGTGAAATATGTCGCATGTTGGACCCTCTTGTTCCATGAGTAATGTGATTTGTTGATGGTTTACTTTGTCCGTTAATTCTTATTGTATGAATTGTTTTCTGGATTTTGATTGGTGCAACAAAACTATTAGACTTTGATGGTATTTTTGAAATGGGTTTAGAATGAGCACTTAAAGGAGTTTCAGATGTTTTATCCGTCTTGTCTTTTGATGCCGGTGTTCTACTGTGAACATTTAATGACGGGTGTGTTTTAAAGACGTTTCCACTGAATTCTAGTGTCTCTTTTTCTGACGGATCCAGTGCGATTGATGTTAACTGTGTTGTAGAATTTAGGTCAGCGGGATGTTTCAAGCTTGGTTTTCCATTATCATCAACTCGTCGTCTACCACTTCCTACTTTCCCTAAAATTGTCTTAGTCTTAAGTAGGTTTTTGTCAAACGAACTGATTACAGAAACATCACCTGGGACACTAACGACAGCCTCATCTGCTGCGACTGGTGGGTGGTAACTGCCTAAAGCTTTTTGTGGATGCCTAGTACTGCTGTTCATATCAAACTTTCTTTCAAAACCCCTTGAATGCCCATTTACATCTTTGTTAAGAATTGTTTTTGACTGTTTGCTATTTATAACTATGGGTAAATTTTTGCCAGAAATTGAAAGTTCGCTGTTTGTGACATAGCTAAATTTACCATTAGTTAAAGGGATTTCAGTTTTTGTTCTCTTCGATGCTGCCTTTTGAGCAGTTATGTGCGGTTTACTTAGTGACTTTGGTTTAATATATATACCCGCAATACCGTGTTGTTTATTTGTCACTGCACTATCATTGACCCCCTGTTTTTGGTGTTGATCGTTTATACTAGATACTAATGTTTTTGTAGATGTACTGTATAGTGGTGTTGTAGTTTCCTCGGCTTCAACTTCTTGGTCTACAGTTGCCGAAGTTTGTTGTGTGACAGGGGTTTTCGTTGTATTAGAAATACCTTCTATTTCAACTTCCTGCTCACCGGTGGCTGTACTTTTTGATAAAAGTGACTGTACTGTAATTATACTGTTTACTGTTGTAGTTTCTTCTGCCTCTATTTCTTGTTCACCATTGTTTTGTGACGCCATTGAAGATGACGGTTGTTGTCTGGTAGACTTGGTATTTTCTGTTGTTGTTTCTTCTGCCTCTATTTCCTGTTCTCCATTATTTTGTTTTGATGTTGAAAATATATTCTTTTCTGTTGTTGTTATAACTTGTTCTTCAGTTTCTATCTCTCCTTCAAATTCTTGTTCAGTATTTTGATTTGTGTTTGATTTTGGAGATGTTGAAACGCCAATTCCCGGTGAAGAATTTATGGTAAGAGAGTGACCTATATTCCCAACTGCATTAGATTTTGTGAAACTTTGTAAATTCTTATTTGCCGTATTGATACCGTCCCAAGAAACAACTGGTCCTTTTGATTCGGTGTCAATTGGGGATATTGTTGTATAATCATAATCAGATAGTAGCCTTTCTCCAAGGGTTTTGACCAAACTTGTTTTAGTTAAGGGTTTTACGTTTTGATTTCCTTTGTCAATATTATGAATACGAGGTTCCATTTTATCCGACTTAGCAATTTTGTTTTGTGCAGTCTTTGTTCGCAAAATTTTCTCTTTTATTAGTTTTTCAATCAATACATTAGCATTTCTTCTTCGTAATTTTATACGTTTCCGTCTTGAAAGGCGACGTTTGAGTTTTTTAATAAAACGTCGCCTATGCTTATCTGAATCGTCACTAGAATCTGAACTATCACGTGCTATAACAATGTCATGTTTCATTGGACGCCATAAAACCTTGCTATGTTTGATTGTTTTCAAATTTCCAAGAAGTTTCACGGTTTTTAAATTTCCGAAAGATCCCGGCCAGCCCCATCTGAGACCCCATTGACCCTGAGCAGGATGAAAATCTACAAAACATAAAGAATACATAATAAAAAAAAACCAAAATAGATAAATTTATATATAAACGGAAGTTAGAAAGTTTAATTGCATACTATAGAGTGCAAAATAACAAATACAACGTCTCACTCTGAGAAAAATAAAATACACACTAGTTTCAATGACAATCTGATCTCTTGTCAATGGTTTTCATGGTCTTTTTGTTTTCTTATTTCAAACGCTTATTCTTCTTTAAATGGGACAAAACAAAATTTTGGCAACAAAACTTATAGATGGCCTCTGGCACAATGTGACACCTGTGCAGTCACCCAGTGGTAGTAATAAAACGAACAAAATCGATATAGCACCAGTAACTTTACACCCTTGTTAGCCACTTTTGTTTCTATCTAATCTTTGATTCCAGAGATCATCCCCTTTTTTTTTTTGGTGGGGATTGCGTTGCTCAATCTTTAGTCTACTCAGTCTTTTCCTTTCTTTTTTTTTTTGACATGGCGTTGTCAGTTTTTTTTTTTTTTTTTTCGACTTTTGAGTTTGAATGTCCATTTGACTTTCCCAGTGCTTGTCAGGCATTGGCCGTTTTAATGAGATTATCCAATTCTAATAAAATCAACTATAAGTATACATTCGGACTCCTTTTAAACTGTGTTTTACTGTGCGTATTGCCGTGTGTTTTTTTTTTTTATTCTACATTGGCTAGAGGTGTTGAGATCTCACAAAACATGTTTAACCCCACCACATTTTTGCGCCTGTCCCAAGTCAGGAACCTCTGGCCTTTGTTAGTCTTGTATGTTTTTTTTTTTAATTTTAGTTCATTTATATGTTTCGTAGTTTAGTGTGACGTCCATTTTCTTTGAACTAGTACACGTTTTTGTTTAGGGCCAGCCGAAATCCGCCTCCGGGTGCGGGATTTTCTCGCTGTGTTGAAGACCCATTGGTGGCCTTTGGCTGTTTTTTTTTCTCTTTGGTCCGGTTGTTGTCTCTTTGACACATTCCCCGTTTCCATTCTCAATTTTATTTGATGTAACATAGTATTAAAAGAAATGACATGTAATAAAATATAGATTGTTTTGTCTATCAGTATCTTAAAAACATATTAACCTATCTTTTATTTACGTAAACAAATATCTATCAATCGTACTTCTCATCATCAAACTTGTTACCAGGATTAATACATCAACATGATGACATTGTAATAGTATCTATTGTGTGATTATGATAGTAAAAATCATCATAAATTCATCAGGATCATTACCAAATATGTATTTTACATCAGGTGTTCTACAATACTGGCCGCCTACCCCTTTCATTCAGTTTTTGTTTCGCTGTGGGTTTTTACAACCATACTTGTACCACAATTAAGTAAAACACGAGAGACGGCATTATGAGGGTCTGAATGGGGTCCTTTAATTCTGTATTATTTAGTTTTTAAGCATTTGTTCTCTATTCATCATAATTTTGCTCATTATTCTCTATTCTTTATATTTTAGCACCCCATTATTCTCTATTCTATTTTTTTCTGCCCATGTCGTCCATTATTCTCTATTCTGTAAACCCCATCCAGATCCTCCATTATGCAGTTCTTACTATTTCAAGCAAAACTCAAAGCCTAAAATGATATCTGAACATTTTTTTAGATTATCTCTAAAAAGTAATATGTTTTATTAGTTTTGTTTTACTTCACGCTTTCTATAAGTAAGTTAATGACTATGTTTTACTCAAATATTTGTTTTCCACATCTTTTCGTATTTTGTGAGTAAAATTTGTATTCATATTATCAGTGTCAGAAGTTTCGAATGCGCTATCAGTAGCGTGGCAAATAAATGTTTTTTTTTTTATTATTAATTGTTTTGGCTTTTAACTAGCTGTCAGTAACTGCGAGTACTCTCAAATCGTACTTTCTTGTTAATTTGACCTGTTGATACTAGTTGTAATGCTTTTTTGTTATTTAATGTTAACATGGATCTTGTCTATATACCAGCTTTGATTATTTGGAATTACTACAAATTTTCACTTCTTCGTACTATGAACATCAAAATCATTTCATTTCTCCTTAAATAATGTTCTTGCACCTGTACAGGAAGTTTTATCTAGCACTAATTGTATAGTTTTATTGTTGATATTCACCCCATATGTACCAAGTGTTAGATTAGTTTTATAATTGATATTAAAGAAATTTCTTGGTATTCCTAAACGGAAGATTTTATACACACAGAAGAAGAAGTATACTTAACAACAAAATTATTTTCATTTACCTGTGTATAATATGACGCAGGTTTTTTCAAAAGTGATGATTTTCTAAATATTGTTTAACATTTCACAGTGGTATCATACTTTAACTTTGTTTCAACCTGTTTATTTACTTTTGACCTTAGTTATTTATCCCTTATAATTTTTATTAACTATGTATTTGCATTCAGGTATCACAGATCAAAGTTATTCGTTCATTGTGTGTTAATTTACGTTTTTTGATTGAGTTAAGCCTTCCAATTGATATTTTATAGTGTGTCTTTCTATGTTGTGATGTCATACTATTGTTTCAGAAAAAGGGAGAAGGTTTGGTACCATTAAAACGTTAAATCCCGCTGCAAATGTTTGCACCTGTCCTAAGTCAGGAATCTGATGTACAGTAGTTGTCGTCTGTTTATGTAGTTCATACGTGTTTCTCGTTTCTCGTTTTTATATAGATTAGACCGTTGGTTTTCCCGTTTGAATGGTTTTACATTAGTAATTTTTGGGGCCCTTTATAGCTTTCTGTTCGGTGTGAGCCAATTCTCCCTGTTGAAGGCCGTACCTTGACCTATAATGGTTTACTTTTATAAATTGTTACTTGGATGGAGAGTTGTCTCATTGGCACTCATACCACATCTTCCTATATCTATTCAATGAATTTTCGAGAAAAAAAAGTTTATGCGATGTCTAAAAATGGTGTAGAGAGGCTCGAATTACTATAGTGAATTACTAATTACTACTATTTCAAATAGTGAAGAATGCTAAAAGGTCATTTAGGGCCACTAATTTGTTGGACATACAGGGTCATTTCCCATGTAATTGTTGGTTTATATACACCAATATTGTCATTCTGTAATTAATAACATTAATTGCGTACCACTAAGTTTTTTTTGACACACGTGATGGGTAACAGCATTGCCATATTTATCTACAGAACACTGTAATTAATCACATCAGCTGTTATATGACACACAAGTTGCAACAGCACGTTTGAAAGAAAGTAATATCGGTTAGACATGTTGTGATGGGTTACTGTATGTACAGAAAACTTTGAAAGCAATACAAAGAATCAGTAGAACGATCGCTTATCTTCTCAAACATGCACATTGTGTTTGTATACAGTACTAGATTTGAGCTCGCTGTACTGTTACCACGGGGTTTGTTTCTTGGGTATCACCAATCTAATATTTCTTTCTTTCAAACGTGCTGTTCCAACTTTCAACCAATCAGTAAA